ACTCAAACCTCGCAGACGGCTATGTGGGGTCCAGCCATCTTCACCACACCATGAGCTGACCCTCAGCATGGTTTTAATGTGCATTTCCTTAATGGCTAATGGTACTGACATCTTCCAGAACTTATTTGCCATCCTTATGTCCTGTTTTACTGAAGTGTCTGTTCAAGACTTTTGCCCATTTTCTTTTCTTTTTTCTTCTTTTTTTTTTTGGAGAAGTTTTGCTATAGGGCGCGTGCACTCGCCAGAGAGACAGAGAGACAGAAAGCAAGAAATCACCCCCCAGGGGGGATGGCCACGCCGCAATCCCTTCTCCTCCATTCTCCTCTCGGGATCTTGGGCATGCACATACACGTGCCCGGCATGAGTTTTAAGCCACTGGGTCTGGGATGTGAACCGCGGTCGACTACGTGGGAGTCCAGTGACATAGCCATTATGCTAACTGCTGGTTCCCTTTCTTTTTCTTTTTTGAGAGATTTTTGTTGTAGGGCGTATGTGCTCCATAGAGGGACAGAGAGAAAGTGAGAAATCACCCACCTGGGGGATGGCCAGCCACAATCCTTTCTCTTCCGTTCTCCTCTTGGGATTTTGGGCATGCACGCACACGCACAGGTGTGAGTTTGAAGGGCGGAGTCCGGAACTCAAACCACAGTTAACTATGTGGGAGTCCAGCATCGTAATCGTTATGCCATCTACTGGTCCTGAATTTTGTCCATTTCCTTTCTTTCTTTCTTTCTTTCTTTCTTTCTTTCTTTCTTTCTTTCTTTCTTTCTTTCTTTCTTTTTTTTTTTGAGAGGTTTTTCACTATAGGGCGTGTGCACTGGCCAGACAGACAGAGAGAGACAGAGAGACAGAAAGTGAGAAATCACCCCCCAGGGGGGAGGGCCACGCCACAATCCCTTCTCCTCCATTCTCCTCTCGAGATCTTGGGCACACACGCACACACGCCCGGCGTGAGTTTTAAGCCACTGGGTCCAGAACTTGAACCACGGTCGACTACATGGGAGTCCAGCGACATAGCCATTACGCTAACTGCTTGTTCCCATTTTCTAATTGGGTTGTTTTGTTTTCCAGCTCGTGAATTTAGAGTTCTTTCTGTATTCTGGATACCAGTCCTTTGTAGAATATGTGATTTGCCAAAATGGTCTCCCAGTCCGTGACTTCTCTTTTGACTCTGGTAATACGGTCTTTCACAGAGCAAATGTTTAAACGTTTTAATAAAGTCCAATTTACATTTTTTTAAAAAATTTTTATGAATTGTGCTTCTGCAGTCATGGTTAAAGCTGTTGACTGGCCCCTATATCATGAATGGTTTTTCCTGTTTTCTTCTAAAAGTTTTATAGTTATAGATTTTATATTTAGATCTACCATTCATTTGTGTATTAATGTTTTGTATAGGGCTCGGTTTAATTTCTTTGCTTATTTGTCTAGTTATTTCAGCATCATCTGTTGAAAAAAAAATCCTTTCCCCACTGGACTGCTTTTTTAGTCATTGTCAAAAATGTCTTGGCCATCCTTGTGAAAGTCTATGTTTGAGCTGTTTTACTCCATTCTTCTGTTGCTATAACTGAATACTCTGAATACCACGGATTAGGTGGTTTATAAACAATTAAGGTTTCTTTGGCTCACAGTTCTGATGATCTAAAGTCGAAGGGCTACATCTGGTGAGGGCTTTCTTGCTCGTGGGAGCTCTGCAGAGTCCCAAGGCAGAGCCAGCACATGGAGAGGGAGCGAGAACTTGTGTCAGCTCCGGTATCTCTTATTTCAAAGCCACAAGCATTTACTCATGGGATCCCACCCAGAAGACCCTTTTTAGTACTAATTACTTTACAAAGTCACTACCTCTTTTTTTTTTTTTTTTAAGAGTTTTTGCCTTAGGATGTGCTTGCCAGAGAGAGACACAAACAGACACAGTGATAGGGAAGTTGAGAAATCACCCCCAGAGGTGATGGACATCTCCCCATCCTCCCAACCCCCCTGCACTCCCTTCTCCATTCCCCTCCTGAGATCTTGGGTGCACACACTCCCTGTGAGATTTTTCAAGCCACTAGGTCCAGGACACAAACCATGGTCAGCCATTTGGGAGTCCAGCGATATCACCCCTACACCCTGTGCTAGTCCCAAATTCACTACCTCTTGACAGCATACCTGGATTAAGTTTCCATCCTCTTAATACTGTCACAATAGTAAACAAATTTCAATATGTAAATTTTAGATTCACACTTCAAATCATATCAGGTTTCCTATTCCATTCCATCGATGTTTGGCTCTATCCCTCCACTGATACCACTCTTTCTTTCACATTTATTTATCTATTTACGTATTTGTCATGATTTTCAAGTCACCTGGTCTGGGACTTGAACCAGGGTCAGCCATGTGGAAATCCAACACCTTAACCACCACTCCACCTGCTGGCTCCCCATACTTTCTGAATTATTGTGTCCATATAGTACATCTTAAAATAGGTAATGTGCTTCTAACAACTTGTTTTTTAAAATTGATTTAGCTATTCTACTTTTGCCTTTCCTTATAAATTTTAGAATAAAATTCAGAGGGCCAGAGGTGGTGTAGCAGTTAAGCAGTTAATGTGGACTCCCATATTGCCAACCACAGTCCCAAACCTGGTGGTTTGAAACTCACATTGGGTGCATGTGTGTGTGTGTGTGTGTGTGTGTGTGTGTGTCTAAAATCCCAAGAGGAGAGTAAAGGAGAAGAAATTGTTGCGTGACCATCCCCCTTAAGGGGTGATTTCTCACTTTCTCTCACTCTGTCTCTCTCTCTGTATTTCTGGCAAGTGTATATGCCCTATAGGAAAAATAAAACTCTCTTAAAAAATTAGAATAAACCTCATCTACATCTACTAAAACTCTTGCTGGGATTTCATAGGAACTGTGTTAAGTCTCTACATCATTTTGGAGAGAATTGGTTTATTTATTTATTTAGAGATTTTTGCTATAGGGCATGTCTGCTCACGGGAGAGACAGAGAGACAGAAAGCAAGAAATCACCACCCAAGGGATGACCATGCTACAATCCCTGCTCCATTACCTTCTTGGGATTTTGGGCATACATACACATGCAACTGGTGAGTTTTGAGCTGCCGGGTCCAGGACTCAAACCTTGGTGGACTATGTGGGAGTCCGGCGACATAACCATTATGCCATCTGCTAGTCCCTGTTTGTTTTATTTATTAGAGAGGTTTTTGCTAGAGGACACATGTGCTTGCTGGAAAGACAGGGAGACAGAAAACGAGAGATCACCCAAAGGGGGTACGGGCATGCCCCAGTCCCTTCTCCTTTCTCCTCTCAGGATTTTGGGCACACACGCACATACACCTGGCATGAGTTTTAAGCCATTGGGTTGAGGACTCAAACCGCAGTTGACTATGTGGGATTCCAGGGACATAATCATTACACCGTCTGCTGGTCCCAAGTCCCTATTTATTTTTTAATTGCTGGAGGGACAGGCCCTCTCCAGAAAGACAGAGTGAGGGGGGAGAGGGAGAAAGTGCCTCCCAGTGGGATGTGGTCATGCAGCATTCCCTTCTCCATTTCTCCATCCTTTGGGGATTTTGAGCTGCACACACAAGACTGGCCTGTTTTTCAAGCCCCCGGGTGTAGATTCCAACCATGATATGCCACATGGGATCCAGCTCCTCAACCATGAGGCCACTGGTCCAACCCAAGAATTGGTATCTTCTTTATGTTGAATCTTCCAACTCAACATAAATCTGAAAGTTGTGGTTAATGAAAGACTCTGGGGGCCGGCAGATGGCATGATGGTTAAGGGTGCTAGACTCCCACATGGCCGACCACAATTCGAGTCCCGGACCTGGTGGCTTGCTTTCTCACTTTCCCTCTCTCTCACTCTGTCCCTCTCTGATTAAAATAGATAAATAAATAAATAAATAAATAAGTTCAATATAGTAATTCTTTTAAAAAGACTTTGAAACTAAAGAGGACTACAGAAGAATTTAAATGGTGCTGGGTGAAAAGTTAGCAGGAATCTTTGCAACCTTTGGTCAGATAAGGTCAAACTCTTGCCCTAGGCAACCAGACAGAAGCTTGGAGGCATAAACAAGCCAACATGTGTGCCAGCTTACAGTTCACAAGAGAACATTGGGGTTCACAGCTCGATGGTGAGCCAGGAATTAGCTTTCCTGCTTGAGTGATGAAAAAGCAAGCGGAGAGTAGTTCAGGGCTCCCAGCGCAGGTCTGACTAACTTGCAAAGGGAACTCTCCAGAGCTATAGAATAGCTGTATATAGAACTCCACCTTCAGACTGCCCTTCGGAAGCCACCAACAGCGTACCCGGCCCCTTCATCCTGCCCGCTAGGGGGCGGCACATCCCCGCTCCCGGGTCCCGGGCAGCGGCCAGAGCTGATGCGACAAGGTAGAGAAGTGGGTGGGTCAGCGACTCCCGGGTGAGCTGCAAAGGCTGCGCTTGGGGCTCACTGCTTGGGCTCCAGCAGAGACGGGGGAGGACAGGTTCCCGTGAGCCGCAGGGGAGTTGGGAGCGTTGTCCTCTGGCGAGGTGAGGATCTGGCCTTGCCACAAAGTAGCCCCCTCCGTCTTTGGGTAGCAGGGACCCTGGACGGGAGGTCAGATCTGCCAACCCTGACCACGCCTCTGCTGATGGACACGGATGTCTGGGCTTGTCCTCAAGCGCCTTTGCTTGTCACGACCTTCTGAACTCACCTCCTTCCCTCCTCTCTTTAGGAAGACACCTAAGCTCCTAGAATAGCTGTGAGACTCGTCGGTGGGTCGGGAACTTGGACTGACCTAGGAAAGCCGATCCTGACCATCCTAGCGCCTCCCCAGCTCCGACTTAGTGCCCTTCCCCTCCTCCCTCTCCCGGCCCGGAGTACACGTGGTGGCTCCCATCACTCCCGGAAGCCTCGCGTGACTCGAACTCCTCGCGCAAGTGCACCAGCGCTCCGGAAGCGGGCGGGGAAAACCCGGACCGGGACGGCTATTCGTGGATGGCAGGGGCCTGGCTCTGTGCACCCGTGCGCGTGCGCACTCCGCAGTCCTTTCAGGAGACGGCGCTCGCAGGTCGCTTGCGATCTGGCGTTCCTGTCGCGCACCAGTTTCCTTCTAGTCCCTTCCCTGGACCTGGGGGTCTCGGGCACCGCTCTCTACTTGGGCGGGTCTGCGAATCCTTGAAGGGTCTGCGGGGGAGCTCGCAGGGGACACGGTGGACCCGAGAGTGTAAGCGCGGAAGAGCCGCGGGAACGGACAGTGGAGGAACGTGAGGTTGGGGACGACGTGAATGAATAACTGGGGATGTGGAGATGCGGGGGCTTGAGGTGAACGGGAGGTTGGAAGGAAAGAGGGGCGTTGAATGTGTCCCCTCCCGGGTATACTCTCTTTATGGAAACTTGTGTAGGAAAGAACACGGAGTAGCTCATGATCCCTCTGATCTGGTCTCTTTCCCATGCCAGGCCAAGCAGCATGGCAGAAAACAGGGAGCCCCGAGGGGCCGTGGAGGCTGAGCTCGACCCAGTGGAATACACCCTTAGGAAACGACTTCCACACCGCCTGCCCCGGAGGCCCAATGACATTTATGTCAACATGAAGACTGATTTTAAGGCTCAGCTAGCCCGCTGTCAGAAGCTACTGGATGGAGGGTCCCGGGGTCAGAACGCATGCACTGAGATCTACATTCATGGCTTGGGCCTTGCCATCAACCGTGCGATCAACATTGCCCTGCAGCTGCAAGCGGGCAGCTTTGGGTCATTGCAGGTGGCTGCCAATACCTCCACTGTGGAGCTTGTCGATGAGCTGGAACCAGAGACTGATACACGAGAGCCGCTTACCCGCATTCGCAACAACTCAGCCATCCACATCCGTGTCTTCAGAGTCACCCCCAAGTAGCTGAAATGAGGCTGGCCCTCCTCTGTCTTCATACACTCCTCTAGGCCCAGATGTGGCTTTCCTGAGTACTGTCGTGGACTTCCTGCCAGAGCCATGTAAGACAAGGCCTGTCCCTCACAGCCCAGAGGACTCTGAATTGAAAGTGGGTTGGGAGGAGTATTACCTCTTTCTGGGCCCAAGCAGTGGGTCTTCCTGAGTCTGTTTGATCTATGGCTCTTGTCCTATACAATAAAAAGTACCAAGTTGTGTTAGTGACCTGCCACTTCCTCTTCCGTATGTACCTACCCAGGGAGAATAGAAGACTTTGCAAGTATTTAGGTATCCAGGGAAACCCAAATGTTTTGTGTCTTCACAGAGAGCATAGATTATATTTCGGAAGAATAACACAAGAGACTGTTGAGTACAGTGCAGAAGCTTGACCATCTCAGTGTTTACATTAGAATTTTTCACCCTGCAGATAATGTCTACTGTCGCCTGCTGAGCTACATCTGGAATAGTTAGGTCAGTCTCCTTTATGGCGATGGTTTCCAGCCGTAGGAAAGGTAAGGGTTTAAGGCTGAAGGAAGCAAATGGAGACTTCAGAACCTCCTTCGTGTCGAGCTCTGTGGAGGAACTGACAAATGCTTCATTTACTTCCTGGTCCTACAGGGCCCAGATGGGTACCAGGCACTGCGGGTCAGAGTCCTTCAGGCCTTTCTGGCTGGACTTCTCCAGTGGGAGAAAAGATGGTTATTCAGGCATCCCTGAATAATCAACTACTCAGCACACAGAAAATAAGTATTGAGTGGTCGGAAAAGTCGTGGCTTATTTTTCTATGCAAAAATGTGTCATGACTTTTCTGACAATCCAGTAACTTTTAGTTTGGATATTTGTCGAATGACCTGATTTTTCATATTTATCGAATTAGAGTCATCTAAAGCAATGTTATGAGTAGTGAATCTGTTTGTGGGTCTTGAGATCAATTGATCTGATTATGGTCTTTTTTTGAAAAATGAAACTTAAGCGGTGTTTTATTGAAGGTTTTTTTAAAATTAGATATGTATATATAACACAAGTACTAGTTAGGATATAATTGCTTTGTTTTGTTTTGTTTTGAAGTTTATTCCACGACAGAGACATAGGCACCTCCTACAGGGTCCATGTGCCGCAGTCTACCCCTAGTCTCAGCTGTTCCAGATCATGGGCACACACGCACTCTGTATGTTCAGGGAGGGTCCCAAGTTGTGTTTTTTACTCTTGCTGATGGTCCCAAGAGTTTGAAAGCCTCTGATCTAACAAAAACTGAGTTTTAGAGTAACCATCTTTAAAAAAAAATTGATTCATTAATTTATTATTATTTTTTAAAATTTGACCAGAGAGAGAGAGAAAGTGAGAAAGCAAGCCACCAGGTCCGGGACTCAAATTGTGGTCAGTTATGTGGGAGCGTCTAGAGCTATAACCATCACACCTCCTGCTGGTCCCTAGAGTAACCACATTTTACTCTAGTTCTCTTGAAAGTGGTTTGGTTTGGGGATCTGAAAATCAGGTCTTCAGTCAGAATCCTTTCTTCTGGCTTATATATATGAAATGGCAGGACCAGCAGTTGGCCCAATGGCTATGTCATTGGGCGCCCATGTAGTCAATCACAGTTTGAGTCCCAGATCCAGTGGCTTCAACTCATGCTGGGCGCGTGTGCGTGCGTGCCCAAGATCCTGAGAGAATGGAGGAGAAGGGATTGTGGCATGGCCATCTCCCCTGGGGGATGATTTCTTGCTTTCTGTCTCTGTCTCTCTCTGTCTTTCTGGCAAGCGCATGTGCCCTATAGCAAAAACCACTCAAAAAAAAAAAAAAAAAAAAAACTAGAAGGAAATGGCCCCTACCTTTAAGGAACCCACCATTTGGGACTGGTAAGGTGAACATACAAATTTTGTGAATGAATAAGATGTATTATGTAAGAAATAAGAGTAGCCATGATACGGAAAGAACTAACTTCCTGGTGGGGATCCAAAATGGTGTCACCTTTGACCTGGATATTGAAGGATGAGTAGGACTTTGCTTTGCAAAAAAGAGAGGTGAGGACATATCTGACAGGGACCTAAGGGGATTCATAAATAGACAGGATATTTTGTGGGACTAGAGGGGAGGGGAAAGAAAGGAGACAAGGTTGCCGACATTTCTATTGGGCTAGTCCCTCTCCATCAGCCTTGACTGCAGACGTTGCCCTGGAGCCCCTCAGTATCCGAGTGGGGAGTGACGGAGCAGGATGGAACTGTGTGTCTCTGCACGTACATGTTTTTGTCTCTGCACTCCTGGCCTGGGCCCAGCTGAGGTGGTGGCAGGCAGCCCTTTTGCATTTGGTTTGTTTTGGCAGCTCCCTCTCCGAGTCTATTTGTTTATTGTTTCTACTCCATGTTTTCTCACTGCTTGCCAGTGGGGCTTCCCTCAGTGGCAGTTCTGCAGAAACATTGCCACTGAAGGAAGAGAGGGTCTAGAGGTTCACTCTAGTGTGTGGGGCAAGTAGGGGGCAGGACTTGAGCTGTGGTCAACCATGTGGGAGTCCAGGACCTTAATCACCATGCCATCTGCTGGTTCCCATCAAATGTAGTTCTTTAGGGAATAGAGGTCCAACTGCCCAGAGATAGGGGATGACAAAAGTCATCTCACTAAGAAAGAACTCTGTGAAAATGGCTACCGAACACTCCTAATGTCGTTATGGGTGCTTTTTAATTTATGTGTTTGGGTTTTCCTGTATTTTCTAGTTTTTATTTATTTAATCTTTGCTATAGGGCACATGTGCTCACTGGAGACAGAAATAGAGAGAAAGTAAGAAAGCATCCCTCCCAAGGGGATTAGCCATATCGCAATCCCCTCTTTTCCATTCTCCTCTCAGGATTTTGGACACACACACATGCCCGGTGTATCTTTCAGGCCTGCAGGTCCAGGACTCAACCACACAGTTGGCCACATGGGATCCAATGCCTTAACCACCATGCCACTTGCTGACCCGTTTTCTAGTTTTTCCAATATCACACTGTTTTTGTAATAATAAAGTTTTTTGTTTTTGTTTTATTTGGTTGTTTCCTACTAAACCAGTTCCTAACTGATCCTTTATTCTCCAGGTAAAATGTTTAGGGAGTAATTATAAAACTGATGAGATAATCCGAAGAAGAGTGATTTTAATGTCATTGACAATTCAATATATACTGCCCCCCAAACCCTACTAGAACTATTATTGAATGTGCTCAACATTATGTAATGTTCAATGTTGAAAAATATATCTATATCCTCGACTTGATTATTACACATTATATGCATGCTTTGGAAAACCCAACTGTACTCCATAAAGAGGTACAATGATTACAGGTAAACCAAAAATTGCAGTTTAAGAAATAAATAATTTTTTGAAAATCTAAAGAGAAGAAACAATAGAAATGCTTTTATTGTTCAACCCAGTAACTACTAAATATCTGATCAATGAATAGGTAGATAGATGTGTAGGTGGGTGCTGACTTGTATTTTTTAAGAATTATTTGTTTTGTTTATTAGTATTATTTTTTAATTTGCTCACCAGAGAGAAAGAGAGAAAATGAGGAAGCAAACCACCAGGTCCAGGACTTGAACCATGGTGAGAGTCCAGTGTCTTAATCACCACACCACCTCCTGACCCCAGTGCCAACTTCTCTGGAGCAAGATTCTGCTCCCTTGAGAAACACTGGAAGTATGCAAGCAGAGGGTGGACCTTCACCTTTGCAGGGCCTTTCGGGTCTTTCCTCAGAGTCTATGACTCTTGTTTGCTGCAAAAAAAGTGTACTTTTCTAAAAAAATAAAAATCATCATTACTGGGACTGCAGATGGTATAATGGTTACGTCACTGGACTCCCACACAACTGACTGCGGTTCATATCCTGGACCTGGTGACTTGAAACTCATGCCAGGTGTATGTGCATTCGTGCCCAAAATGTGGAAAAGAGAATGGAGGAGAAGAGACTGCAGCATGGCCATCCCCCCTGGGGGGGCGATTTCTCACTTTCTGTCTCTCTGGCGAGCGGGCGTGCCCTATAGCAAAAATCTCGTGAAAAGCTATTATTATTTTAGATTTTTGCAATAGGGTACATGCACCTGCCAAAGAGACAGAGAGAGGGAAAGTGAGAAACCATCCCCCAGAGGGGATGGCCACACTGCAATCCTTTCTCTGTTATTCTCCTCTTAGGATTTGGGCACACACACACACATCTAGCGTGATTTTCAAGCCTTTGGGTCTGAGACTCGAACCATGGATTTGGCCATGTGAGATCCAGTGTCTTAACCACCGTGCCACCTGCTGGAGCCACTAGAAGTAATTTTTTTTAAGTTTATTTGGGGCCAGCAGGTGGCATAGTGGTTAAGACACTGGACTCCCAAATGGTCGACTGCAGTTAGAGTCCTGGACTTGGTGGCGTGAAAAATCATGCTTGGGACATGTGTGCACATACCCAAGATCCCAGGAGGAGAATGGAGGAGAAGGAATTGTGGGGTGACCATCCCACTGGGAGGTGATTTTTTTTAACTTTCCTTCTTACTGTCTTCCTCTCTCTCTCTGGTGAGAGCACATGCCCTATGACAAAAAACCTCTAAAAAGAAAAAAAAAAAAGGGGGGTTATTTATGTATTTCATGAGAGAGACAGAAACAGAGAAACTGGCATCCCCAACCGGGTCTTCATGTTACGATCACTCTCAGTCTTGGCTGGCCTGAGGGCTGTTCCAGGATGCAAGCGCAAGACTTTCCCCATGTGAGTCCAGCTGTATTTCTGTTGTGCTATTCCTTGGCTCTATGATTTTTTTTTTAAAGGTTAGGATTTTCTGATTTTATTTTTGGTTAGGCCAGAAAGTTACTCTGGCCAATTTACCAGCTCTGTCTTCTGTATAGGATGCGTGATACCAGAAGGGATTTAGGAATATTCATCAATTCTTATGAGCTAGAGATCCTAGGACGTGGTCTGAAACTTTTTGCTAAAGCCCAACTAGGGCACATTTCTGGAACTCAAAGTGGAGGCCTTTGGTCCTCTGGGGCCCCTCCTTCAAGGACTCAAGCATTTGAGAGATTTGAGAAACAGATGGACAAGAAAGTCAGTCCTGTAATGCTTCAAGGCTTGTCTAGGGTGGGCCCAAAGGTCTCCAGGTCAATAGCACTGAAGGAAACCCACATTGATGGGGCCAGAAATCCCTGGTGGCCTCAGGTTTTGAATAATCACAATGCCATTTCACTCAGCTATGTTCAGGGAAAAATTTCTCCTTAG